GATAATATAGCGCCTCCATGTCCGTTACACGTAGGGATCGGAGAATGGGCAGTGTATGTTTACCTTTTTTGAACTTAAAGACGTAGAGTGAATAAAACCTCTCTCTGATATTCTGGAATTACTAAAAATAAAAGGTGAAAAATAAAGACTGATTACACAAACCGTACATTTAGCAGAATATTAAGATAATGAGAATATGGACGATCTAGGTGACCCAGCTGTTCGTGGAGAGGTCCCGGGTTCGATCCCCCGTAGCACCACTTTGGGGAAATGAACTTTTGTAAATAGATTCTGGTCTGGGCATGGATAGCGCCTCAGAGATTGAGTTTCGTTGCTGTGGTACTCATAATACAGGGGATTCCCTAGTTTGAGTTTCAATACCATAGTAAGCGCCCAGTTACACAGTTACCACGCCTTCATGTACATTAGTGGCGAATCTGAATTCTATTTACTAAGCAACAACATTTAAATTCTTCTGAATAATACAACCGCACGGTAGTCGCGCGGCCGCCGCGTATACCAAATTCAAGCCATACTCGCCCATGTGCCCGGGACGCTCATTTAAGTTAAAACGTAAAAGCTAAGTAAGTAGAGCGTATTTTGCCATGATAGTTAGATGCACGCGGTTTATAACTGCCTCTGTGGCCGTACGGTTACCATGCTGGACCGCCACGCAATGGTCCCGGATTCGACTTCCGGGCCGGGAGAAATATTTGTATGGCGTACATTTATTACTCTCGTGAGTTTGGGTGTGATTTGTAGCTGTCTATGTGTGTATCCGTGGCACCTGCCGAATTCACCTGCAGAATTTCACCTTTTGGCCTTTTTTATTATACCAAATGACGTGATGAATAAGTCGTGTGCCTGGTCGTAAGCGACACGCCTATCCATGACAGTTGCAATGCCACTCAGAGCTTTAAATCGCAAAGATCTTAGGGGCGCTGCCACTGTGCCCGGCACCCTGACAAGTTCCATGTGCCTGTAATTTCACTAGCACCCCTAACCCTTCAACACCGGAACACAGTTAATGCTGACATTACTGCTTAGGTAAGGTGGCCGTACTTCCTTTGACGAACTCTTTCACAAGGAGCTCTACTGTCACTAAATGTGTAGGCATACCTACTAGTGAGAAACTATATTATAAAAAAACATTGGCGGTAATTTTTATACATAACTACAAGATATTTATTCGTTAAAAACTGTAGATAAGAAGTTGTTATAATATTATTATATAAGATCGTATATTTGGCCAAACCTTAGCATGCGAACATTATACACATGTATTATTTCACTTTTGATATGCATGCATATTTAAAGTTAAATTTATTTATAAATTGTAAAAATAAGGAAGGAAATAAATTTTAAAATTAAATTGTACGTTTTATCAAATATGAAATCACGAGTATTGTAGTAGAATTGAGCAGCTAACAAATAAATTGTATTAACCGACTTCAAAAATTAAGAAGGAGGCTATACGTTCGGATGTATGATGTTTTATGTATGTTTTCAGATTTCTCCGTCATTAGTGACCGATTTAAAAAATTCCTTTTTTGTTTGAAAGGGTGCACTCTCGTGGTGGTCCCATTGTCACCAAGTGAGAATCTGATCTCTCAATTTTTATGATGTCAGTACAATACCGATTTCTCCATCAATTGTGGACCGATTTTCAAAATTCTTTTTTTGTGTGACAGGGTGTACTCTCGGGGTGGTCCCTAAAGAGTTCCGGATTCATTTCAGCTATCACAAATTGCTAATTATTTTCCACAAATCAAAGTCGATTTTTCACTTGACACGATACATGCAATCGACAAATCCCCGTCACCGTGACAACCAGAAAGAAAGTATAAAATGTTCAAAGGAGTCCATAATAGACCCATTGTCACCAAGAAGTCAGAAACTGATAAGGGGATCCATGGAAATCGAAAAAAACCGTTAAGCAAACTTTTGAGATTGTTTTTTATTTCAATGAAAAACAATTATTATTTATTAAATAATTTGGGTGCTAATAGAAACATCGTTAAATTCCAAACAACGCCCGTTTGGGTCGTATTTCTATTTTACTCCTTGTCTTTCTAGGATATTTGGTTTTGACTAATTTAAAGCTGCCTAGGTTTTGTTTGACAAAACCATAAGCCTCATAAATCTATATCGGTAGTAGAGTTAATTATCTTCAGTTTCCTAAAGTAAAGTACATAAATCTCTCGCTGACCCAGACCAAACATGGCCCTGACACTTCTTCTGGGTTTAAAAGTCTATACAACCTCAAATGGCTTTGGTTGATTCCGAAAGTGTTGAATTAATCACTTTTTTAAAACATATAGTAAAATTGTGATTAGTATACGATGTGAAAATACGTTTCCTAAAAAATTTCACGATAAAAAAAAACACAAACTTACCTCGACATTTTACAAGGCAAATAATCTTAATACAGAGTACTAAAAACCCGAAAACTCAAAAGTTCGATTACATCTATTTGCCAAGTTTTATTGAAATCCGTTACCGGAAAGTGCCCGATACCGGATTCATCCCCTAGTTTTCCACCCTTAGAGATGAAACATTTTCTTCAAATTTAAACGGGACCACTACTGAGGTACCCTCTTTCCAACCAAAAAATAATCATCAAAATCGGTTCACAAATGGCCTTAGTTATCGCGTAACATATATACAAAAAAAACATACAGTCGAATTGAGAACCTCCTCCTTTTTTAAGTAGGTTAAGAACCGCTGCATTCAATAGGTACTTTACATATACCATTTTGTTTTAAATCAACTGAACTAAATAGACCACGTGTAGTATACGATATACATTTTATAAATGGCTCTAATATCGTTTGTAAAAAAATTAATTCTGTAATAAAGTCAGAGTCCCCAGTGTGCTGGAGAAGGTAAAAAATTCATCCAAGACTTGAAGTGTCCTTGTACACTTACTACCTTCTTACTACCAATAGCAGCTACTTGTTCCTCATAACATAACCACCTTCAAGAACCGTTGCCTATATCACGTTAGGGAGTCTTTAATGCACCGTGAAATTTGGTTTTCAAATTGGTCATACCGTTTGTGATTTCAATAACATACGACCGTTTGAAAGGTCGCTAAGCAACAGTTTGGTTGCTAATCCGTTGTATTTAGGTGTTTATATACAATGTTACAAGGTCCATTATGAGGAAATTCTGTGACACGGCAATAGGACTTTTTAGAATTATAGTGGAGTGTCGCTTGACCCTTTTGCCTTTAACTATAGAGTAGTTTTTTAAAATACGGATATTCCAACAGTGTTCATAGATTTTCAACGACGTTACCACTCGACTGTTCTATGGCATAATAAAAATAACTGTGAACTGGAAGTTATATGAAAAGTAAACAAATAATTAAATATGGAACGCGGTCGTAATAATGTAAATAGAAAGACCCGTTTTGTGGCTATAGAAGTATAGATATCTATACTGTACTGTTGGGTTACTGGTTACGTATATGAGTACCCGATTTTCGTTTCATACAAGTGTAAAAATTGCTTATGGAATACATCTCTCACTGGCACTGACGTTGAAAAGAAAGTTAATTGTTGAGCCAGTCAATGTATTGTAATTACGGTTTTTGTTTCCATCATTGTCAAATTTTTAAATAAAAAAAAAAGTATATTTGACCAAAATGTATTATAAAAAAAAGATTTCAAATCCTAGCAAAATACCAAACGAATAAAGTTTAAATCATAATCAACCTATACCTAAGTAATTAGTAATTACGTAATACAAGTAACCCAAAAAAAAAATCGTCCGATGTATATCAGACGCCAGATGGTGCGATGTTCTTGCCTCTCTCTCTAGCACTAGATGTTTGTAGAGATAGAGCAGTGGTAGAAAGATATGACGTTCATTGTTTGGTTATTTTGCCCTTCCCGATAGTTTTTAGGTAAAGGTCTTGCCAGCTAACGAGTTTCTGCTTAATTCGCTGGAATTAAATAGACAAATTGTAAAAAAGAAGTTGTGAAATTACCTTTATTTTTTTCGTGAATAACTTTTAGTGTTTTATGTAAATAATATTTTATGTACTCCTTTCTCCTGGCTTGAACATATTTCTATTAAAATTCACATTTAATTAGTGGTTATAATAATAATAACATATATCTGATTCAAGGATCCATTCAAAGTAGCTATTGAGCTCCGTGTGAAAAAGTTTGGCCAGGGAAGTACTGCCACCTATCTATTTCTGCCGCTAAGCTTGGCTTCCGGTTTTGGTGCTGATTATTTTTTGACATAAAAAAAAATCTCCAATATAAATAAAAAAGGAACTGCCTCCGTCCACATCTGGGATTAACTGAAAACTTTGTTGTATGTTGATACCACTGAAACTCGCACGTCCCCATCTTTGATACCGGTAATAAATATAACCTTTATTGATTAAGCCTCTTTGACTGTCTGAGTTGGAAGGGTGATGATAATAAATAAATAAATAAATAAATAAATAAATAAAGAATGCACACACTTATAGCCCCGCACTAGTAAAACCCTGTATCGGTTGCCAGGGACACACATATTGACAACCACAAATTACACCCAAACTCACGAGAGAAATAAATGTAGGCCATACAAATATTTCACACGGCCCGGGTCTCGAACCCGGGACCTGAGGCAGTATATGTAGATGAAAGATATTACTAGAAGGTATTTTTCCACGCGTAAGCTAGTTAAAGTATCAAAATCGTTCGTTAATTCGCGCATTGTAACTGTTGTGTGAGGACACTAAACATGTTATGTCACTTCATTGTTTAAAAACAATACAGTTAAAATTTACCTTTTATCGTATTATATATAAATCGTATTTTTTACTATTTACAATCACCATACAGAATATATTATAATAATTACATGGATTTGTTAAAGAACTATTGTTCTTAAATTATAACGCACAATTGCTTAACATATTTATTCTTTATCCTAGCCTAACAGTCGTGTTAACGGATTCATTTACAGTGAAAACAAATTAATTTACAATTGAGTCCACGTGTCTTTTAATTGGTTTTTCGATTTCATCACTGAATAATCTGAATACTCAGGTAACGATGTTTTAGATAGATTATCTGCACAATGTTGACTGCGATTACTGGCAACCCAGCTTTGTATTCGTTTCTCACATCATCCGAGTCGCGCTGCCGAGCGCACGCGTTCCGCGTTCACCGCGCAGCCGCCCCGCACCCCGCGCTCTCTTTTTATTTACATCCCAGTCAGTGCAAAACATTGTAACAAATAAATGAAAATAACACTACAAACAACAAATAATAATAGTGAAGTGTAATATAAGTGCATAGTGTAAAGAAATCCCGCCCAATCATCTCGCATTGTGCATGTACTGTTTTAATAACATTCGACGTTCAAACCATTGATTTTACAAATATACGTGGAGTGTTTAAAAGAAATTGTTTAGCAATTCGGTGTTAAGAAACTAAACGTACAATGATAATGCCTTAAAGTATATATAAGAATTGATTTCTCTCAATATTCTATGGAGCGTGTTAAATTTAGTTGCTGCGTGGGTTTCCGTATGCCCGTGTTCTATAATCGGACCATTAGAAAAGTACACTGTGATGCAAAGAATCGTATACGTGTGGCATGGACTTAAGACGCAGAAGCCGTATACATTTATTTATACACTAACAACACGTGTCGTCCTTCACCTACAGTAGCAGCATCATTGGATTATAGTACATCAACAGACTCGGTCAAAATGATGTGGCCGTCGTCGCAAGCGAGTAAAATACTTACATTTCTACTCTTTTCCATAATCGTCTACTGCATCTACATGGACACATTCTTGTTCCTTCGAATAAGGAACTACAAAATAGATATGTTTGAGGCCAGTGTAGAAAATTCGACGCAGACAGACTATTCGACGCATTCCGCAGTGAGAATACTGCCAAATTACGAAGACGTTACATGGATACCGTGCAGCATCAATCCTTTGTGCCATCCCACCGTGAAAGGGTTAATGGTAGACCACATAAACCATTATATCTATGGCCCTTTCTGTGCAATAGTGGATATTGGATTGGGGATCTCGGAAAACATGTTGTTTTTGACACCGAATATGATATCCTTCTCTCATGTGCTCATTGCTTTTGTCGGGGCAAAACTTTTGACCTGCCAGAATTTAGCGTTACGCAGAGTAGCAGTAGTGATGTTCCAGATTCGAATGTTTTTGGATGATTTAGACGGACATGTAGCGAGAGAGAGGAAACATATAAAAGGAGAGAGATCTGAAGTTGGAACTCTGGGCTATTGGGTTGACGGATTTTGTGACCTTATCGGAGTTATAGCTATGATGATCGGTGTTACTTTGTATTTGAAAAATAACCCTCCAAGAAGAGGTTACAAAGGCACGCCAGTGAGTACTTTACCTTACCACCAGTTAAAAGAAATCAATTCTACGGAAGACATTGAAAAAGAAAGTACAGTCGAGGTCGGGATTTCTTACAAGACTAAAGTGTCGTTCCAGAAAATAATACAAGTGATAGGACTTTTCTCTGGTCAAATGGTGCTATCTTCTTTAGCGTGGAATAGGTACATAGATGTTTATCAGGAGTTGCTAGAAAACTGTACAGAATACGATGTTGTTCGGCGTGAGACTACTTTTAAGTCTGGAGTGTTTTTCTTTGCGACCGGTTTGTGGAGAGTGGTAAACCCACACTCGTACCTGCATGTGTTGTCGCTAGCTGTGTTCTGCGATAAGACTTGGAGTTTCTTAAAAGCAGTACATTACAGTGGTTATATTTCTTTAGTTATAGCTGTTGGTATGTCTGAATATTTAGTAGAAAACATCAGGTCGTATGTGTTGACTGAAGGTCGATGATTGCGAATGTATGTTCAAATATTATGGTTTCCATATTTTATCGTTATAGAGAGAAGCCATGATTTTTTAAGTTTATTGCTAATGCCAAAGATCAAGTCAACAAAAACGAACGTTCAGGTCGTTTGGCTAGCAAAATGCAAAAAAAATATCACGAATTTGAAAATTCAATAAAAAACATGTAATTACCAATATAATTATTGAAATAAAATTCATTAGGATTTCAAAGCAGTCTTAGATAAAAAAAGTGTCTTTGTTAAACATGGCTGTTTGAACATTGATGTTTGCTTTTGTTGTATTTTTAACAATTTTTTTTTAAACGAATTTTATGTTATGCGTTTGTGAAAAAATGCTCATTCCTTATTATTTTTGCCATATTTTCGTGTTACCTTTTACGTAATTATAATATTATTGGCTAAACTCGATCAACATCAGAAGGAAACCATTGAAAATTCAGCATATGTCCTCAGCCACTTTAAGAGAATAAAAAGTTTTCTTTTACATTATTTATGAGGATAACTTTGTAGATTGAAATCGAATTTGGCCTGTAATATTTGAATATCAGAATTTATGGTAACGAAATTACAAAATATTGTTACAAATTATTTTATAAATTGTTAAATATAATAAGGGTTTATGAAAAAAAGAAATGAAAAGAAATAAATCTACCTCTTGGGAAAGTTCGATCATGCACCTTCCCACATTTTATATGCTGTTTCAGTTTAGTAAGTACAAACCAGATGTTGAAGAAAATGTACTAAAGGCCGTAATTTTTTTTTATCGAGAGTGAAATCGCTGATAACATGAATTGTACAGCTAAATACGCAAATCCACACACTTAAGAATACAATCTCGTATTCGATATTACCGAACACCGACACGAGGCTTATACTGAGTTGAGAATTTTGACACTTAAAAGAGTATACCACCTCAAATGGCTTAATTCCGCATAGCAGTGGAAGTGTTAAAAAATATATAGTAAAATTGAGGATATATCCTGATTACTCTATACGGTGTGAAAAGACGAGTCCTAAAAATTTTCACGATAGAAATAAAAATACAAACTTACCTCGAAATTTTACAAGAAAACCGCTGTATTCAATAGGTACCAATGATTGTTTTTTTTATATCAACTGAACTAAATAGAACACGTATGTTATATGATATTCATTTTTGAAACGGTTTTAATTTAGTTTGTAAAAAAAAATTCTGAATTAAACCCAGTATCCCTGCAGCTCGATCCAAGCAAAAGTGAACCGTATTAGTACTGGAAAAAAAATAATTCGAGCTGAGGTAGTATAGATTCTTAAATAGAAGTAATAAAGCTCCCAAGTCGAGGTCGAGATGCAACCTTGACCTCGAGATGCATCTCAAGTTTTCTGTTATCGGGCCGTCTCGCATACTACTATCTCAAGTACCCAAGACTGGATTGGCAAGGACTAAACGATTTTCAGCCCTATCTTAAATGGTGATTGTCGTTTATTGATAAATGATGATTTGAACTCACCGATGAGTAACCGTTGATGACTCAAATGACATTATTCAAGTGACAGTTTTAACGTAAGGTGCTGCACTTGAGTTGGATTTATTAAACCTTTAGCCAATCATCCAGTTACGCTCACTGTTTTTAGTAACTGCAAATTTGTTTGTTCATCGTAAGATACATTTTTACATATAATAATAACGCACACACTCGCAGCCCCGCATTTGCTCGCAAACCCTGTATCGCGGGTGCCATGATTATCACAGACAACCACAAATTACATTTAAACTCACGAGAGAAATAAATGTAGTCCTTATAAAGATCTCAACCGGCCTGGGAATTGAACCTGAGACCTCTGTGTGGCAGACCAGGATTGTAACCATTCGGCCACGGAGGCATTTAACTAATCTGCCGTCCACTAACTAAAACGTGTGACAAGTGAATTAGCCTTTTTGTGGCTAAAACTGAGCAAGTCCCGACTGCACCAGTCGCGACACGCATGACGGTGAATTAGGTACCGCATTATCAACTGTTTTAATTATTTTTTAAATTCTTATATTATTATTATATCATTTTTTATTTTAGACTCGCTTCTCCGAGGGCCTAAAAGGTTAATTTTTAATTGTTATTATTATTATTATCGTTCCTTTGTTTTTTTGTTTATATGCGTGTCTGTGCTTGTGTAATAAACAATTTTCTTTCTTTCAAATGGTTATAATGTCCGTTTTAAATACCAAAAGATATTACAGAAAAGTTAGAATTAGTTATCGTGTTCGTCTTATCGGAACTAACCCTAACAATGCATAGCTGAAATATCTTTTAACAATTTCAACATACTGAATCTGCATTGTGGTTTTTATGGTATCTCAAAAAAATAATTTAGTTTTAGTTCGCGGACGGCAGTAATAAAGCCCTATGGGAGAACTGTTGTTTCACGATGTAGAGGCCGAGGGTTTAAATCCCCCATGCTTTACGTTCATATTTAAATGTTTAACTGACGTGTTTCTACTTGAGAGCATCATTAACATTATCAACAATAGGGTTAAGTACCACTGGGCAAATATTTTGCAAAACAAAAGCAGTGGGCGTTGATCGAACTTGAGACTTCGATAAATCATGTAACATTTCGTTTCACTGAAAACTTTGAACCATTCTACAGATATTTATATCTACTAGTAGGATTAGCTCGATAGGGCTTGCGCGACAGCGAAATAAAACGCGGGTAAGTGACAAAGTAAGGTAAGTTCCGAGAAATCGAACACGTTAACTGATTTTAACAGAATGTTGTGCTCTATCTTTCGCTATTTAAAACGAGTGTTTCACCATTTCTCACTTAACCGCGTTTTAATTAGCAGCTATACTCCTATACATAAATATCAATATCTCTCGCTCTCGCAATATATGTCGCATGTCGGTTATTACACCGTATTACAAAAGGCACCTTTAAATATACAATAGTACTTTTGTGGGTCTATTTTATCACCTTTGTAGTGTTTGCGCTTTGCATCCGACTCGTATTCATTCCGAATTCGAAACTAGAATCATCTAGAAGTCGGACCCATTTCGGATGTCGCTTGTGCACAAATTGAAGCGTTCTGTTTCTGGAATTCTAAATTTTCATGTTCATTCGATTATATAATTTTGTCGTTTAGCTTTTGCCCTTCTTCCCCGAGGTATCGAAGTTTTGTTACACAAATCAAGATCTATAATTTTTAACTTTGAATGTTTCAAATACGAGTAAAAGTGACTTGTAACTGGGACTTTTTAAGATTTGCTTTTACGATCGACATCGTGTGATCAAATAAAACTAGTACATTTGTAAGCAACAAACGATTGACATCGTATTTTTTTCGATCAACATGTGTAATTAATTAGACGAAATCGAGTAAATGCGTAAGCAGATTATCGATACCGTATTTTTTGTAAATCGACACTTGTAAATCGAGCAAATCCATAGGCCACTTTAAAGTCGATATAACCTCAAATTCTCACTTTGGAAAAAATATATAGTAAAATTGAGGATATACACTGATTAGTATACGGTGTGAAAACAAAAGATGATTTCTAATTTTCACGATAGAAAAAAAAACACAAACCCACCTCGAAATTTTACAAGAAAGCCGCTTTATTCAAATAGGTACTTTACATATCAATGATTTTTTTTAAATCCTCTGAAATGAATAGAACACGTATAGTACACACGTACACACGTATACTATGTATATTTTTGAAATGGCTTTAAAAAATAATCTGAAATAAACCAGTATTCCTGCCGCTCCACCCAAGCAAAATGAACCGTATTAGTAAGTGCAAAATTAGAATTCGAGCTAAGGTAATATAGACTCTTAAAATTCGTAAAATTGTAACGATCAATATATTTTGGCGTCAGATTTTTGGACACCATGTCGGTGCAAAACGGGTTTTGTAAATATGAAGTTCAGCATTTTCTATACAATCACCCATTTCCTTGAAACAACGAAGAAACTACCACTGTGATATATATCCAATTATTGATAATTCACTAACCGGTTTATCGACTATAGTAATGTCGATACAACACGTGGCGATTTTACAAGGTCAGCTTATTGCATTTGTAACTATAATAATAATAATAAAATAATAATAACGCTCACACTCAACATAGCCCCGCACTAGGGAAACCCTGTGTCGCGGGTGCCATGGACACACACATAGACAACCACAAATTACACCCAAACTCACGAGAGAAATAAATGTAGGTCATACAAATATTTCTCCCGGCCCGGGAATCGAACCTGGGACCTCTGCGTGGCAGTCCGGCATGGTAACCATTGGGCCACCGAGGCAGTAAGACATGTGATTCTTTATCTGACGTCATTCCTTGGTTTTCTGGCTTAGTGTGCGAGATTTCAACGCCTAAATGTTTATTTACATTACACTAGTGTTGGAAGTAAAGCCGTGCGTTTGCAGAAATTGAAATGATTAAATAGTGTTCTTTTATTATAATTTGTCAATAGCAAGATTTCATCGAGTACATAACCAGAAATAGAGACGAAATGTCATTTATTTTTTTGAAAACTATTCTGTCAAATCATTACGATGACAACTGCGCTCCGAATGGCCAGCCCGAATTCGAACTTCAAACCGACCGGTTTACCTTGCGCTTTGCTATAATGGAAAATTGAAAAATTACATATTTAATTACCGATGAAACGTGATTCCATTTGTTTTGTAATTAGATGTTTTGGTGTTGTTCCCAATGGAACTGGAACTGGAACAGCCCCCTATAAAGTAGAGATATGTATCTATTGTAATAAAGTACAATAAATACAGAATATTTTTGGAATATACGGAGAGTACACACAGGCCAGTTGTTGGTGCTGTACTGTTTGAGCTTTCTAGTTTGTGATTTCAGCGCAAACTAGAGTTGATATTTAAAAGTGATATGAGGGCCATTTGCCTGATGAGTTGCCAGTGGTGGATGGCCCTTATTTCGACTCTATTTCTGGTTTTATACTCGATGCAAGAATGTGACATCTAATTTCGTTGCGAAATAAATACTTACCACTTCACTGTTAAAGTTCTCAGTCACGCAGTAGTAAGCAACCGTTTAAATGACAGCTTTAATCATGAAAATACATTTATCAGCGTGTCGAGATTTTCTTTTCAACTGTACATCATTTCGGTGTTCAGCGAGATGTAAGGCGTGCTAATAAACCGCCGATG